GGGGGGTGTTGAAGGGCAGGTTGGATGGGGCTTGGAGCAGCCTGGGCTGCTGGGAGGTGTCCCTGCCCATGCAGGGGTGGCACTGGGTGGGCTTTGAGGTCCCCCCAACCCAAATCACTCCATGATGCTGTAATACAGTCACATGTTGGGGCACAGACACAGGTGCTGGTGGTGGAAGCACACACAGCCACACACACAGTCACACACACACTCACACACGTGACGTGTCCCATCCTACATCAGCACAGAGATGGACACAAGGACAGGACTGAGCTGCAGCCTTGGCTCAGCCCTAAGGCACCAGTGGTACCTTGGGTGCCCCGAGCTCCTGGGTGGACACTGGCCATGGCACAGCTCCGTGGTAAGACACCCACCAGGAGCACCAGGGGTTTCCATCCTGGGGCTGCAGCAGCCAGGGGCACTGACCTCCTGCTCCGTGCAGAGCCAAGGCCACCAGCAGCCACCACAGCCTGTGGGATGGTGGCCACAGGTGGCCACAGCTGCCCAGCCAAGGTGCTCAGCAGAGCAAAGCCTGGTTGGACAAGCCCGAGTCCTGCATGGCAGCTGGGACCAGGGACAAGGCAGCCCAGGAGGAGGAGGAGGTGGTGGCAGAGAATCCAGAAGCCAGACGGTGCCCCTGGACCCTCCGCAGCCATTGCTGGCCCCCGTGCCCCACACCTTGGGGTTGGTCACCGTGTCCCAGCCTGTCACCCCGCCTGGGCTGCCCTGACCCTGCTGCGGGGGCTGGAGGTCTGGGCTCCCTGGGTGCTCCAGCACCTCAGCAGGGGCTGGGCCACCGTGTCATGCCCAGGGGCGGGGAAAGGGAGAATTTAAATGGGGTGCTTGTCTGGGCTGCTCATCCCGGCTGGGAGGCGGCAGGAGGAGGAAGAAGAGGAGGAGGAGGACCAGAGGCTGCGGGGAGCCACAGCCGCTGGAGACGTGTCCAGCAGGTAGGACAGAGCCCACCTGAGGGGCCACCACTCAGCGTGGCATCCTCCCTGCAGGCACCTGGGGCCTGCAAGGGATGTGGGGACCTTCCCTCTGCCCCCAAACCTGGTGTTGGCACTGGTGGGGACTGGTGACCAGGGCGGGCAGGAGGTCCCCAGGCAGGACTCAGTCCTTTCCAAGGAGGGACAAAGCCAGGGAGCTGGATGGAGCTGCTGCTCCACACCTTGCACATGGTGTCCTGGATCCTTCTGCTGAGCTAATGGGGACACTGTGGTCCATGGGGGACGCAGCAGAGATGAGGGACCTGCCTGAGCCTGCATGCACCTGGGAGGCTGCCGAGGCAGGAGGGTCCCGGCTGGGACCCCCCTGGCAGGGGGCTGGGACAGGATTTCCCTGGGGACTGGGGCACCACCAGGACACCCCTGGCTGCTCCGGGTGGAAAACCACATCCACTGGGGCCTCCTGCTGCCACGGCCTGGAAGGACAAGCAGGTGCTGCCCCAGGAGCTGCATGTGCAGCCCAGCCTGGGAGTCCTGCTTGGAGAGCAGCTAATGACAGCTTGGAGCTGGGCTAGGTTGCCCCAGCACAGGCTGTTGGCACGACAGCCGTGTCCTACATAAGTGTCACCTGCTCCAGGGTGTGACACAGGACTCCGCTTGGTCCTGGATCCAGTGCCACCCCAGCAAGTGGCACAACCAGCCCTGTCACCTCCCAGGAGGTCTTGGCTCCATCAGGGAGGAGAAAGCAGAGAAGCTTCTCTCCAGGGCTGGAGCCACGAGGGGGACCAGAGCCACGAGGGGGACCAGAGCCACGAGGAGGACCAGAGCCACCAGAGGAGCCTGGAGAGCCCTGGGCAGGGTCCCCAGAGAGGCAGAGGCTGCTCTGCAACCGCTGGGTTGCACCTCTGCCCTGATCCATCTGCAGCAGCATCCGTCCCACACTGAAACGGATCAAAAGCAATGACTCAGAGACTTCCAGACCAGTTGGGTAAACAGTGGGAGAATTAAGCTCTGGCCCTGATAGCGAGTCAAAGGTGTCATTAGTGTCAGTCATGGGGGTTGTGGGAGATGGGTGTTCCCACAGGCAGGGCTGGGGTTTCATCTCTCCTGCGTTTACGAGGCTGTGGCCTCATCACCACTCTGTGCTGTGGATGCTGAAACCTGGCAGGGCTTCCAGAAGGGACCAGGTGACAGGATGGGAGATGTCCCTCCCAGGTGACAACACGGACCCAACCTGCATCCAGCTCACAAAATCCACTCAGCTGGACGTGGTCAGAGGTTGTTGACACAGAAACCTGGGAGACATCACATACCCTGCCCCACTCCTGGTCCTTCCCCTGTTGTCCACTCCTGGCTCAAGATGGAAACAGGACTCTGGGCTACACAGAGCCCTGCCCTGACTTTGCCCTTAGCAGATCAGCCAACCATTAGCCAAGAACAAAGATTGACCATTCCTGACCTCCGTGGCAAAGGGGCTGGGAGCTCCTGGTGGAAGCACCTGCCTGTGATGGGTGCTGGGTCACCTGCCCTGGTGCCAGGTTGGCAGCAGACCCAGCCCCACCGAGCTCCATGAGGGTCTGCAGCTGTGGGGGGCAGGGGAGGGCAGTAGGATGGGGGCTCTGCTGACCCAATCTGGGACACCTCAGCTGCAGACCCAGAGAAAGTCCTTCCCACCTGGGCCCCACTACCCCACAAGGATCTCACTGGCCACTCGTGTGCTGCTGAGACCCTTTCCTGGGCATGCTGGGGTGGTGCGGGGTCACACAGCAAGGAAAAAGATGTCCCTGGAGAGG